AATTTTTGTGTTATCTTCAGCAAATTTTACTTGCGTGTGATATTAATGATGCTGTTCAATCATTTCTGCATTCTGTTTGATCACCTTTCTTTGGAAAGAACATAAATATAGATCTCTTCCAGGCAGTTGCCAGAGAGCTGTCTTCCAATTTTCTTGGCAAACAAGTGTGGGTCTCTGGTGCTGCATCTATCTGTTGAAACATCTCAATGAATATTCTCTCAATTCCTGGAGCCTTGTTTTTTGGCAATTTCTTCAGTTCAACTTGGACTTCTTCCTTCAATACCATCAGTTCTCATTCATATGCTACCTCCTGAAATAACCAAAAAAAAAAAAAAAATCCTGAATGTACCTAATCAGGAAACAAACTAATCACAACAAGAACAACAAAGACTTAAGAGACATACTTAAAAGACCATCTCATAGATGAAGAATTGAACTTAGCCTGAGATCCCAAAGCATAGAACAAGCCACCAAATATCTAGAAGTGACTGCAGCAAGAGATCTTTTGGCTGAGAAGATTACCTTTGTATGTAAAATTGTATTTTCAATCTTTACCTTTTTGATAAAAATAATATTCATCTCCATTCTCATTTTCATCTTTTAATAATTTCTCATTCATTTATCAGACATTTTATTTATTTTATGAAGTGTCCCTATTCATGTCCTTCACTCACTCATTTTTCTGTATCAGGAATTCACCTTTTCCTTATTAATTGTAAAGGCAGCTAGGCTAACTCTTTCCTGACATTTAGGACTCAGTTTGTCTGAGATTCAGTTTTCTCTGTTTACCTACCTGGCCTTTGGAGGTAATGTTTTTCTTCCAGCTTCTGTCCAGTGAATGAAGTGTCTTGCCAAAATGGAGAAATGAGTTATTTGTTTCAAAACTTCCTTGATGGAAGTCTTCAGTGGCTCTTTGTAGGATCCTACAAGAGAAAAGTAATAGCTTTAAATTTAGTTTTTAAAACAAAATAATATGTTGATTGGGATTTGCTCATGGCATCTTTCCCACTGATGCAGACCGTGAAGGCTCAGGTCTTGTCTCTCAATATCACTGGGAACATGGGCTTGTCTAGAACCCTGGATACATAAGTGAACACTGGTGAGAAACTGGTTCAGTGGCCTTTAGAGCAGAAAGTAAATGCAGCAAAAATGTTCTGTCAGCGTGCCCAGACCAGACTAGTTCATTTGGAAAACAGATGAATATAAACAGCTGAAAATGTTTTAAATGATGGAGGAAGCAGCATCCAGTTTGCCCAGGCTCCTATCACACCCATAGGAAATCATCTTGGGAAGTTTGCTTTACCAATCCTCGACCTTCACTACAAGAGCATGCGCAAATCACTTTGCCTCTTAGCCTTCTTATTGCAGAAAGATGTAAGAGTAATTTGAGGTGACACTGATGAAATACTTTCCAAGTTAAAATAATAGGAGACTCAATGTTATGTGCATCATTATTCACAGACTCTCTTCTCAAGATGGAAGCCCTTCAATGACTTGGCATCCTTTACCAGACCTTTCACTGCACTGAAAACCTTATTGAGTCATCCCCTGAAATCCCAGTATCTGCATATCACTCCATCATCAGAGGGACCTGAAGACCATTGGAATATGTTAGTCTTTTGCCATGTGATAGTTTTTTCTTAATATGGACAAAGCTGGACTTAATAAACTATCTCTGATATTCCTGGGGCCCAGCATCTCAAGTCTTGAGCTATTCAAAAGCTAAGAGATACGCTTTACATCAAGAGAGGGGGATGAAAACATGAACAGTTCTGCAAAGTTTTAGATCTTGCTCTTTGTCTTGAGAAACTATGCGCGCTGGCTTTTTTTTTTTTTTTTTTTTTTTTTGACACTTCCAGAAAAATAGAAGAGTGGAAACAAACTCTCAGAACCTCAAATGAGAAAGAAAAAGAATGTAGCTGAATGTTAAAACTGACAAGCATCTGAGTTACAAGCAAAGAGGTCAGGTTTACCAGCCAAAGGAACCAGGGGCCTGTCGGGTTGTGTCCACAAAGCATGATTGCAAGTGAACCTCTGGCCGTATACGTCCCTGTACAATGAGAAGATCTTCAGTGTTCACTCTTCTAAAACAAAAAAGAAACCCCACCAGCAAAGCACTGAGAAACCAATGTGTTGATTAATACCCAACAGCAGTAAAAATAAAATGGACTTCTTTATAAAATCCTTTTGACTGATGTTTGTCTTTTGGAATTCTGATTTTTCATACAATACCTTATAAAAAGAAAAAAAAAAAAAAAAAAAATAGGGCCAGGAAAAGAAAAGGAAATACCTATATTAGCCAGATTATTAAAATAATCAGCATGAAAATGACACCCTCAGTTACAATGGGATACAAAAGATTTCTTTCAGAAGAAAACTGTAGCAATGGCCTTTTATATCAATCTATCTCTCCTTTTGCTTCAATCAGCTACTTTTCAGTATTCAGGCTCTCACTGGCCAATTTTTTGAGATGTGCATAGCCCCGTCCTTCTTCCCAGTCTTTCTTAGCCTGGAAGCTCCACTGAAACCTGTCCACCAAGGGTGACCCTGCTGGTATTTGAAATACTGGTGGCATAGCCTCCAGCCTCACAGCAACATATAAGCCACCAAGTATGATAAACTGACAGAGGAGTCAACTAAACGTTGTGATAGGCAAACAGTTGGGTTGCCAGCAGTTTTAAAGAGAAGGGTTCTGATGGGATGACCCTCAATCCCTGCTCGTCAGATCAGGGCTCTGAGGCCCATTCCCCACCCCTACCCACAAGACAGCAGACTGACTCACTCTCATCCTTCCTTCTCTTTTCTTCCTCTCCCTCTTCGTTTCTCTCCTCTTCCTCTTCTCTCTCTCTCTCTGATTCTACTATTAAAAAGAAAAACCAGTTGATGTCAAGTCAAATCCAGCTCATGGTGACCAAATATGCCTTCCTTCTGAGGCACCTCTGGGTGACCTCAAACCTGTAGTCTTTCAGTTGGCCTGACACAGTAACAAGCTGTCCTACCAGAGGACTGCCAAGCATCCCATTACCTAATATATATTTTCTTCACTGCAACAGAACTCAAATCTTACCAAATCAAAAAAACCAAACTCACTGCCGTCGAGTTGGGTCCTACTCATAACGACCCCTTCTTGGGTTTCCAAGGCGGTATCACTAAGGAAGTAGATTGACCAATCTTCCTTCTGCAAAGTCATTGAAATTCCATCCTTTGCAAACCAAGGAATTGCTACATGCATACATATATTCATACATAATTACATATCTTTATAAAAGTGGCTATCTGCCAGTGCAAGTCTCAGGAATGTATTTGAAACCAACACACACACACACACACACACACCCTTGGAAACTTCATATTCAAAAGGAGAAAAAGATAAAAGCAATTGACTAAATGTGACATTGAACGGTTCTCCAAGACACAGATTCTCTCAGGAATACATTCCTTTTTAACATCTCAGGACGAGGCTGTGGCATATTCCTAATACATCACCTAGAATCAGGGTCTCTTTCTCAATGGTCGTCTTCAACACGGATTGAAGAGCTTCTGGGAAGTCAGTGGTGGAATGCTCCTCCCCAAAGGAGTAGGCTGCCATATCCCTGGTTTGGCTTTGCTGCCATCTTGTGGAAATGGGGCTACTGGCAACAGGAACCTCAGCTGACAGCCTCTTCACAAAGTTGCTCTCCAAGTTAGAATATGTAGTGTTAACTGCATCAACTACCCGTTGTTAAACAACAAAAAGAACAACTGGTAGAGGTTATAACAGCCTCAATAATGCAAAAGTAAAAATTCCATAGAGGAGAATAAGAAGTGACTCATCTAGTACAACACAAATAACAAATAAATGAGATTTTTAATTCTCATGACATGGGAGAATTTTATTCAATTTAACCAATGTGTGTGTATCATATAATGTGCATGTGTGTGTGATATATAACTCTTTCAAATAGCATTACCTACTGAGAGCCTATCTGCTCAAGGGTCTCAAGTCATACCAAGATAGCTTAGAGAATTATAGTTATATAATTAATAAATAATTATATGTTATTGAATCAGGAGCTCTGGTGGTGTAGTGCCTAAGGCATTTGACTGCTAACCAGAAGGCTGGAACTTCAAACCCAACAGCCACTCCTCAGAAAGAAGACTGGGCAATCTACTTCTATAGTGATACTGTCTCGGAAACCCAAGGTAGGGTCGCTATGAGTCAAATCAACTTGACCGCAGTGAGTTTGGTTTGGTTTTACTACTATTATATGTTTCAAATGCCTTAGGCACTATGCCAGCAGAGCTCCCTTATATAAGGTATGGCGTTATAAATAACAATATATACCAAACATGCAAGATGTTTATATAAAATCTTAAAATTTCAAAGCTAGAAAGAAAAAGCGATTTTCTATTCCAAACTCTTTATTCCACAGTGGAGAAACGGGGTGGAGAGAAGTTAAGTGACTTGCTAATCACATGCCATGCAGCTATGTGGAATTCAAATGCAAGTGAGAAACTAGAAATGAATGATTTCTTACATAAATGGCAAACACATTTGGTTAATATCATTTTATAAAGAATTCTTAGAGACGTTTAGAAGAGTTTACCCACCCAGTAGAAAAGCGGCCATTGGACATAAAAAAGCAATTCACAAAAGAGAAACATAACATGCCCATAAACCTACAAAAAATATTCCACCTCACTAGTAAGGCAAAGAAATGTAAATTTAAAACAAGGAGCTATTAGCAGCGGTTTTGTTTTAAACAATACTCTCCAGTGCTGAAGGTACTGAAAATAGACACCAGCAGGGGTGGGGAGGGAGGGGAGGGAACACTGCAAAAATTAAATACATAAATAGATAAAATAGACACTGGCATACACTACTATGACGGGGTGTAAATTTGTATCTAGAAAGGACTATTTGGCAGTGTGTGTCAAAAGCCTTCAAATATGTGCACAATCAGCAATGACACCTCTAAGAATTTAAGGAAGGAACCAAAGACAGAGCAAAGGTGGAGAAGAGCATGCAGTGTTTACTGAGAGCTTACCATGCAGGAGCCCACATGGTACAGGTTTTTCACCCATTTGTATTTAATCCTCAGAAACACCTTGTGAAACAGGTCTGTTATTTATTCTCATTTTACCAATGAAGAAAATGAGGTTTAAAGGTTAAGCAAATTGCCTAAGCCCACAGAGTAAGTGGAGATGTTACCCTAAACCCATGTGTCCGACTTGAGTTCATACTTTCAACTGAGTGCATGAGGGCATGTATTGCAGTACTGCTTGTTATCAGTGTTGCTGGATGCCGTCAAGTCATGTTCAACTCATAGCAACCTCATGTGACAGTAGAACTGCCCTATAGGATTTTCTTGGCTGTAAGACTCCACAGTACACAACAGCAGCGATAATCTCACCAGGTCTTTCTCCTTAAGAGCCCGTGGGTGGGTTCATATAGCCAACTTTTCAGTTAACAGCCTAGTGTTTAACCCTTTGCATCACCAGGCCTCCTTCAGTATCACCTACAGGGGCAAAAAGATGGC